TTCCCTGTGTGTGTTCTTTTCTCCCTTTCCTTCTTCAGTCAGAGGGAACTGAGGCACCGCATGAATGGATGTCATTCCCAAGGAAAACAGATTTTTGGCTCTGACCAGGAAATCCATTTTTCAGCATGAATAACACAACTCTCCATCATTTTACCTTTGTCAATTTTTAAGCAATAGCTTAAGCAGCAGCAGGTTGTTTGGGGCAGCCAGGAAAATGAGCTCTGGCCCTTGTGCTCCAGACTAAAGGAAATCAGACAGCAGGCCCAAAGGCAGGAGCATAAACTCTCCACTTCCGATGTTTTTCCTTTCCATTTGGTTTCCATGGGACCCTGTGTTGGGGGCGGGGAGGGCTTCTAAAGGACCGATGCATATTCTCCAGCAAAACAAAGGGCCAAATTTCAGGAAGGCAAAAGAGAGAGCGTGCACATTATAGAAACGGGTGAGGGACAAGAACCGAAGAATTTTGTATGCCTAACAGTATCAGAAGCTACATGCCAAGGCTGATTTTGTGAGTGCCTTGTTGTCTCCCATTTCTACCAAAGTGCTGTTCATAAGAATTATCAAAATCCAGAAGAGGCTGCATCTTTAGGATTTGGAAGTGTTTTCCATCTAGCTCACAACCTAGAATTGCAATGTCGCGTTTTGGGGACTGAGATGGAGAAACTCTTCTCCTTCTTTAGGGTTTTTGGTTTGTTTGTTTGTTTGTCTTTTGATTTTTGCTTTGTTTCGTTTGAAATTTTATCCTGGCCTGTAATATTTTATGTGCTCTCCTCTGGGCCTTAAATAGTCCTGTGCCTCAGCAAGCCAGCAGGCTCCTCTGAGTCATCCATGTTTTCTGGGATTAGACACTGTGACCTATGACTGAAATTCACTAAAAGGAAACAACCACGAGCTAGAAATGGTCACGGCAAGCGGGAACTCCTAAGGTCCTCCGCTTTGATGAGCAGCTGAGTCTAACAGACTAAACAAAGTTGGGGAGAAGGCACAATTTGTCTTTGCCATCGTACCTTCCCTTTCAGGCTCAGATTTTCCCCCATTTTGGCACCAGCCTGAGACACCATCTTATGTCTTGTCTTTGCAGGACCTGTTAGCTAATTGTCAACAGATTGTGGAGTTTGTCTTTGCTAGCTCCAAGACAGTGATGCCTTCAAGAGTATTTGCATTTTTATAAAAGCTTCTTGGAGCTGGAATCTCTAAGGGTGGGCTATGAAGCATAATAACATGTAGTGGGAAAAGATGGTGTTGATTTTCGTGTGTGTGTGTGTGTGTGTGTGTGTGTGTGTGTGTGAATTTCTAAAATCACACTATACAGGAGATGCACCCACCCAGGGGTGTGGTGGCCAAGGGAGGAAGAGCTGTGGGAGCACTTACCCCATCATGTCACAGTATGCTATGCTAGAAGGAAGAACATTAAGCACATAAGACATTCATTTATTCATTCCAAAGAATTTAAGCTCCTCCTACGTGCCAGGTACCATCCAGGTGCTAGAAAAATTGCAGCAAACAAAACTCACAAAAATCACTGCCCCATGGAGTGCACACATTCTAGAAATAATAATAGAAACAGTAAGACAAAATTTGTGCTTCTGTTTTTTCTGTGATACTGTAAAGAACATTCAGGGTTTTGGACAAGATAGACAGTAATGAGAGTGTAATCCCATGGGCAGATCCGCCCCTAGCTGGGCACTTTGAGGCCACCACTTGCCTCCTCTCTCAGTCAGACTCCCTGGAGAAGTGGATCTGAGAGCAGAAATGACTTCCTCTAAAAAGCCGGGCTGTTTTGACCCCTTTATAACATTTCTTTAACTGAGCTTCAGTTCCTTCCTCTGTAAAATGGTATCTGACCAGGGATCATGGAGAAGTTTAACTGATACAATAGGTAAGGAAACACTTAACACGGTGACTAGTGTAAAGTACGTAAGAAATTCATTTTGTTCTCCCCAAAGACCATTCCTGTTCTGTGGCAGAACCATGTATTTGAATCAAGTTGTCCTTTTGCTCCATCCTCCTCTTCCCCCTTCTTCTTCCACTCCTGCTCTACCTGGCAAATGCTGCTCGTCCCTCGGAATCCTTCCCAGTCTCCCCGACAGGGCTGACCCTCCTCCTCTTTATTTCCTGCCACTGGACACATGCCTGCCTTACAGCAAATAGCAGCTTTTGTGGTAACTATTCACGTTTCTTTCTCCTTCACTAGACTTTCAATTCTTGAAGGGCAAGGATCAAAGCTTTAATCTTCTTGTTCAAGTTTATAGCTCGGTCACATGCCAACCGCAGTGCCTAAGAGAAATAAATATTGGTGGAGAGAATAAATAAATAGATGATTATCTCATTAGCTTTTAGTCACTCTAGTGCTCCAACTGCTCTTACTCCTTCTAATGGGGACATTGTGTACTTGGGGGCCAGAGCTTGCCATATAAGAAAGCTGTTTTCTAAATCCTGAGAGGGGAAAACAACTGTTTAGTAGGCTTCCATGCCCTACTTTGCCTCTCTGCCTTCAGAAGCTGGGCATCACAGCCACCACACCTTGGCCTCCCTGAGCAGACATGGGGGACACAAGCTGCCAGAATTAGAGCCCTCACATTAATGTCCACTCATCGGAGCTCACCACCATCAGAGAACTCCAATTCCAGAATACTCCATCGTCACTGGAGGAAAGCTGATCCCATGTTCCTGATAATAAGCCCACAGCACTGCAGGACCCCAAGGACCTCTTAAATCAAAAGTATGAAGTGCTTCCAGTGTAACTTTCTTTCTCGTAATGTGTACTTCACTGACTTTTAAGTCTTGGAAAATTGGTGGCACCCACATACTGTGATACGGCGCTGGCCCCACATTTTTTAGCAAGACTTTCAAGATCCTCTAGAAAGTGAGAGCAAATTACCTCCCTGAGCTTCTCTCTCCTGTGCACCCCACGTCCTTTCTGTTCCTACTACCCAGGCCCCCTCTGCGCCTCAAGGAAGATGCAACAGGGTTTTCAGTTGGTTCTAAGTTCTTCCAGGATCAGCTGCTGTAACAGTGCCATCAGCGCTGAGAAATCTCAGCATGGCCATTCCTCCCAGCTGTCGATTTTGGACTGTCAGCTCTGAAAGAAAGCAGAGCCTGGGAGAGAAAATGCCATGAACCCATCTCCTTCACTGCAGCTTTTCGAACAACCCTCTCCCCGCCCCTCACCCCTGCTGCTGCCTTCTCATCACCTCGTCTGTGGGAAGCAATTTGGGGGATCCCCCAGGCAGGCTCCCATGTGGTCTCCATGGAGCTCTCCTCAACCCCGACTCCATTCCAGAGAGATTTGCTCCCTCTACCCCCTGTTGCTGTTTCATTAGCACTGAAAAGCACACATTGTCAGAACTAGGCACAGATCAGGGGCCGGGGAGAGGTATGGCATGAGTCCCTCGGCTCCCTGTGGGCTTTGCTGGATGAAAAGTGTCCCTTGGTTAATGCGTCTTGTACAGTAGAGCTCCCCCCCAAACCCGTTCCCAGGCCGACCCGGTTCTGGAGTGTGCAGGGCAGATGTGGAGACAAAGCCAAGACGTGCCCATTTGCTTCTGATTGGAAAAGGGTGGAGCGTTTTGTGTGCCTCACCATTCAGACATTCTTCATGGTGCTATTTTTATCAACGGTAATCATTAAATTGGTGTCAGATGGGCTGGTCCGGTTCCTCACCCTGAGGCCTGGTGATGAGACTCCACGGGTTTTTTCCAGGCAGGAGGAGATGTGGTATGTGGCCCATATGAATGGGTCTCCGGAACCTGGGGCCTCACATCAAACCCCTCTCGCCCTGGATCGTGTTCATGTGGCAATTAGAGCAAGGCTCATTTTCACTCCTGGTTCATTCCTGACCTGATTCATTTAACACACATCTGTTGCGCACCTTCTAAATGCTAGACATTGAACAAGACACTAGGGATTCACAAAGATGTAATCTCTACCTCCTAGAAATATGCCTGTCACCAGAAAGGATTGTCATGTGAAGTGACAGTGTCTACTGGGCTGTGTGTGTTACAGATGCATTGATAGGTACATAATGGAGGGAGGATTCATGCTGCCTGGGCCTCAAGGAAAGTTTCTCGGGGTTGGTAACACTCAGTCAGGGCTTCAAAGAGAAGTAGAATTAACTGGATGAAAACATGGGGAAAAGAAACCAAAACTTTTAAAAGAGGCATAAAAAAAACAAGTCTATAGATTCACCCAAAATTCAGCTGTGTATTCAGTTGTCACTTAGGGATCCCAGGCATGCACTTGCACTGACCCTTGCTCTGGGAGGCTGGGAGAAAGAGGTCTACGGTGCAGAAATGCCACCTGTTCACTACACCATCCCTGGCTGTCCTGACTCTGGATTTCAGAATTTGGCCCCTGAGCAGGGCCCAGTAGCGAGGTTAGCAACCCAGAATGTTGGAGTTAGACATGACCTAGGAGCTGACATCACAACCTGCTCATGGATCTTCCGATAGAAAACCTAACCTCAGAGTAAGCACCAAGGCCCCTCTCTAGACACAGGAGACAAGGATGAGTCATTATATGGAGACTAAGAGTAGAATTTTCTAGATTCTGTATCTTTCAATCTGTACTGTACCACTCTTAACTAAATGCCTGGAAATCCATCATGAAATTGAACAGAAAACCAAAACAGGGCATAGCAGGAAAATAGGGAGAGCCGTGGTACCCAATGATGGCAGGAAGTGCATTTGCAGATGTTCTCGGCAATCCAGGGCCTGGCGCTCTGGTTCTCATTTCCTCCGACCAAACATTCCAAACTCCACCCCCCACAAGTCACATGCCTGCACAGGCATAGCCCTGCAGGGTGCAGGTTGTCGCTGGAAGGGCCTCCTTGCTGGGTCGGTGGCCAGCTGGAAGAGCCCAGGGCCACCTGTCTGGTCAGGAGCCTCTCTGCTGTGAGCCTCTTGGAGCCAGGGCTGGCTTTGTGGTCCACCTAAAGTGACAGTGGAATTAATGGGATCCTGATGCCATGACTGAGGCCATTTCCCCGTGTCTCCAAACAGGGATGAGAGAAGAAATGTCCTTAGGACGACAGGAGGCTTTTGAAATCTTCAAGAGGGACCACGCTGACAGCGTTACCATCGAAGATAACAAGCAGATTTTGAAGCAGAGGTAAGGCTGGCTCACAGGGCCGCTAGTCCCCCGAAGCTTAGCCAGTCTCAAGGAAACTTGCTATTCCATTGTCCCTAACTTGCTTAACCTAACTTCTAAAAGAAAGGCCTGACGTGTATTTAGCTTCACAGTGAATTGTGTCCAGCCCGGCAGTACTTTCCTACATGGGAACCTCCTCATCCCTGTACTGCTGGGGTATGCAACATCAGGGCGGGGCCTGTCACTGACAGCACCAACTTTGTCTCCAGTTCTCCCCTGTTACACTAATTCCTATCTTCCCATGCCTTTGTCCATGTCATACTGTTTCAAAGGCAAAGGAGAAAAAGTCTGTAGACCAAATTATCATCTCAGAACTCTGGATCCTCCAGCTGCTGCAGCCCTGTGCTTCCTACTCAAAGGGAGTAAACGTGTGCACAGCCTGTGACCCAGAGGCCTCTGGTGCATTCTCCAGCCGGAAGCAGAGCAGGCAGCAGCGTCTGCTGACATACTGTCAAGCTGGCCTCTGGACCCTTTAGAAAAAAACTTCAGGGTACATAATTCGTTTCAGCTCATCTGCAGTTTAGATGCATAGCTGCAGACTGTGGCAGACAGAAAGACGGCCAGGTGCCTGGGTCCAGAGTTCAGAAGAGAATGTTCTAGCCTGTGAACTCTTAAACTGAGTCACACGTGATTCTGGATCTTAGCACACAAACATTTGGAAATTTTCAAACCAATGCACTGAATTAAAGTGAGATCCAGGTTTGGGAGTCATATGCTTATAAATGCTTCAAGGAAGCCTAAGGAGTGGCCAAGCTCAGGAAAACAGGTGGAGACGCAGGGGTCTAGAGGGTAGAAACAGGGGAAAAGCTCTAAAGGGCAGGGAGGGAGAGGAGGCTGTGAGGGAGGCTGAGAGAGAAGCGAGGGAGATCCAGGGAGTTCTGAGGAGCAGAGGGAGGCTGAGAAGGAGACCCAGGAGAACATGTTGAACTGAAAAACGAGGGGAGGTGGCTCCAAGAAGCATGCTGTGAGTGGCGTCCAACACTAGAAAGAAAGAAGCAGGGGAGGCTGGACCCAGTGCACCAAGCAAACAGGCGACCACGGATCATGGGTCGGAGGGCTGGGACTGAGGGAGCACGTGAAAAGGAGCTGAGCAAATGGAGCATGCATGAACATGTGTTCAAAAAGTCTGTGATAGACGACAAACATTCGAAGAAGGGAAAAGGGGGGCCTAAGGAGAAGAGAGGTTTGTTTCAGAACAGGAGAGAAGTGGTGAATATTACAGGCCACAGAAGCAAGCCTGTGGAGAGAGAGGCAGACAGACGGACAGATCAGGAGAAGGACTGACACAGCAAGGCCTCAGGAAGAAGGTCTGGGGAGGGAGGGCCTCAAAGACCCCAGTGAGGTGAGCCTGGAGAGAAAAACGAGGCAAGACAGGACTGCCATTGATGCCCTTGGAAGCGATGGCCTCTATTTTCTCTGTGGAAGTTGAAGTGGAATAAGAGTCATGAGGGTAGTGGCAGACAGGGTGGCAGAGGTTTCATACAGATGTCATAGTGATCAGGAAAGAAGGAAGAGCTGAAAAAAGGAAAGGCAAGCAGCATTGAGGGCCCAGCTTGATGGTTAACCACTGGCTTTCTCACTTTGGTGCCTTGTGAGTGGGGGTCTCAGATCACTTTAGGAATCCAGCAATGGTGGGAGGGGTGTAGCCAGGAGCAGTCTGTCCAGACTGCTGTGCGGCCCCCTTAGTCCATGCAAGTACATGCGGCCCCCATGGCCCGGTGCTTCCGCTTCCCGGTCTGTCTCCCGGGAAGCTTTCCTGTGGGCTCCTAAAGGGACATACGCGGGGATGTTCTCAGCAGCTCAGTTTGTGGCTGAGGAGAGCCCGAAGCCTGGGTGTCCATCCCTGGGGAAGCAACAAGGTAAAATCTTGGGGAAGCTGCCCATGAAGTCAGGAGCAATGGATGAATGGACACACACCAGCATAGACAGCACTAAGAATGCACAATTCATGGAGATTATAAAGAGACACACCCAAAACAAACAGAAGAGCCAAAGGTAAAGAGAAACCGTCACATGCTTTAACCATAAGAATGGTTACCTGTGTGAGGGAGCAGAATGAGAGCAGAACGGGGCGGTGGGAATGAATAAATGAATAAAACAAGGGCTGGGGGAGAAAATAAAGTACCTCTAGTGAAAGCTGAGGACACTCCCTCTGGAAAAATGGCTGTACGCTCACCCACACAAGTTTTAGCAAATGAACCCTGGGGTTTCACAAACCTTCTAACACATATCCACAGTAAGCCATGATTTTCTGGGGTAGTCAGTTGGATGTGTTGGAGCAGAACACCTGTCTGCCTGAAGATGAGCATGTCACACTAGCTGCCTCATCCAATATGGGGCCCTCAGCCTTGTCCTTTCCCGGGGCTTCAGAGCTTACATCAGTGCTGACAAATCTGGCTTTATAGGAAAATGACCCACGGAGTTTGTAAAAGCTCCCAATACTGGGCCTCATCCCTCAGATACTCTAATTTAATTAGGTAGGAGCTAAGCATCCATTTGTCTAAAGATTTCAACATGAAAGCAGGTTTGAAAACCAACAGCTGAACAGCGTCCAGAGTCCTGGAGCTCCAGAACCTCTGAGGCAGGATCCCCAAACTCTACAGACAAAACCAGTTCCCAAGGGATTCTTTTGCACACTTGAGTTTAAGAAACACAAGCTTAGAAAGAATTCTATTTTTTAAGAGTTTATTTGAGAGAGAGAGAGAGAGAGAGAACATGAGCAGGGGACGGGGGCAGAGGGAGAGGAGAAAAGTAGACTCCCCACTGAGCAGGGAGCCTGACATGGGGCTCGATTCTGGGACCCCGGAATCATGACCTGAGCCAAAAACAGATGCTTAACTGACTGAGCCACCCAGGCACCCCAGGAATTATTCTGAAATTGGTATGTTTCCTGGTTCTGGTTTATACTAGAGTTCATGTCTGTTTCCAGCGGGAGGGTGGGTTGGGATGGCAGGGCTGAAGACGTGGTCTTTCAAAGCCTCTTAATACAGAGCTCACTTAACTCTAGTAAGGTTCTGACAACCCTGTGACAAATGTGCTTTGGGGCTGAAACATATCCAATCAGATAGGATGAGCTGGTAACATTGGTGGTCCCATCTTGCTTGTGGCCATAGAGCAAAGGAATTAATAAAACTCATACAAAGCTTTGAAAGGGTTTTTCCCAGCAGTTAATCAGTCTTTTTAAATCAAATGAAAAGTCAGGAAGACCAAGCCCACATTTTTAAAAAATGTCTACATCTGTTTGATGTTATTGTAGTAACAACCATTAAAGGAATATTTGGTACTGAAGGGGTGTAACCCAGAGTCTACTCCCTTCTCAGGATTGGAGCTTTTGTTTGCATTCGTGGAGAGTATTCAGTTACTAAGTATTACATGCTCATAGCTGCTTGAGGCAGAAGATGAAGAGAAAATGTTTTTCTGTGAAAAGAAATAGCTAAAGCCCCGCTCTTACCACAGACATCAGAATAGGGTCCCACAGGTGCCAATGGGGGCAACTTCCACACCGCCCTTACCTCAGAAAGCAGTCTTCCATAACCCTGATCCCCTCCAAGCATCTGTTGCTGGTCTCCCTGGTCACGGGAAGCACCATGCACCCCATCTGCGGGAGGGCTGGCCAGTCCTAGGAATGCAGACATGCTCCACAAGATTTTAGTCAGGATGGTGCTAAATGCGTTTCCTCACTCTGCTCCCAGGAGACTTCCTCAGAGAAAGTCTCACCCTCTGGTAGCCCCCAGCAATGAGACCCCAGCCTCCTGGCCTGCCATTCATTCCCAGCTTTTCACATCACATCACTCTACCATCCAGGTTTCTAATGTTGGGACATTGTGTTGGCAAAAGGACTCATTGCACCCACGCAAGAGCCTGGGGGCAGCTCAGCCTCTCTAGCCCATGGCAAGGGGCTTCTAAGCCCAAATGAAGGAAACATTGGTGGCCCTGGATCCCTTGTGATCACTCAGTTCCCCCAGAGTGCAAGGATTGACTTGGAGCCACAGGAGGGATCCATCAGTGGCTCACATGTTACCCACCCATGTTACTGGATGGAAGGATTTTCTTCCCCATCTTACCTGGACCCTTTGCTGTCCTCCCAGGCAATTTCTAGCATCTCCTAGCCCTAGTCCCCAGTCTGGGGGAGATCGTGCTGCCTGTCTGTGACAAGAAAAACAAGACACTGGCACATTAATGGGGTGTTTACCCTTTGCTGAACTAGAGCATGTGAGCCAATTCTTAAGCTGGATTTTTTCAGCGGAAGACAACTACAATTCAAAATCACATTTTTCAGGGATGACTCATCCTTGTAGTACATGGTAATGTGAAGAGAGGCTGGAGACCCCATGGTTGGCAAAGACCAGTGCCCAGGCACCACACAGCTAACCTTCTTCTGTGGCAGGTCTTTGATACAAACTGAGTCCCTCTGTCACAGACTTTCATTAAATAACAAAAGAAGAGATAAATAGGGAGATTAACTTCAATTGCTAACAAAGGCAATGATAGTGTGAACTCAACCCAGAAAAGCGCCTCTTCACTCCTTCAGACACAGAATACAACAGCAATCTAAAACCAACAGGAAAACCAGACCGAGGCTGGAGAGCAATCTTGTGGCACCATCTGGAAATAACATCCATGACAAATAGGAGTTTCCTGGTTCCTATTAGACTCCAATTTTAACTTTTATTATTTTTCCATTTGTTTTTTGTATTTACACCTTGTCTCCTGAACTAGAATTATGGACTCTGAGAGCTGAGATTAGATTAGAATCTTCCCAGCCTCCCCAAAGTTTTTAAACACAGTGCTGGCCACAAAAACAGTACTCAACAATACTTCTTTGGCTCGAGAATGATACTTTGAAATTGGCTTTGGGAAGTCTTAGCAGCCAAGCAGACTGCTCAAGACCTACTTCCTAGAAGCAAGAGAATGCAATGGCAGACTTCTAGAGACTCAGAAAAGGAACAGCTCAACAAGAC